CTTCTCTCTCTAGCACTGGGGGCTCCCCTACCAGGCACCACCTTCCGCGGCCGGGGCTCCCCCGACCCCCCCGACAGCCCCACAGAGAGCACAGGGAGCCCGGGCAAAGCCCGGCCCGGGGTCGGGGCTCCGGGGAGAGAGGGACAAAACGGACCCGCGCGGCGGCTGGGGGGGCAGAGGATGGAGAGAGCCCCAGACGCGTCTGCGGGAAACAAAGGGGCTGGAAACAAACGCCGTGAAATGTCTTCGAGGGTTTAGCTTTATCCCAGCCCCATGTGCTCTGAATAGTAATCTGCTTATTCCCAGCCCCTGCGGAGTTCTGCGTGACCTGATCATCTCCGATTCCCTTTTTCTACCAGGATGGCTGTCAGTTTTGCCGCTTTGACGCATATTGTTCTGTTGGTAGTTTGGGTTAGATACTATCTTTTAATTTACCGCTGGTTTTCATCTATGCTGTTCATATTTTGCGAAGCCCAACAAACACCCTCTATTTGGCAATTTGTCTGTAGCGTGAATCCGTGGATTCACCTCTCCATAGGATCTTTTTTCCTCTCTAATTTTTGGACTGAAAAGTGTTAACCTGGCTTCTGGCTGAGCACGACAGTATTTCCACAACCTTGGTTGTGACTAGAGTTTGAAAGAGAGACTGTGCTTTCTGCTTTCCACGCAGGATCCCAGGGATCTCCAGCAAACAGTGACCTGCCTTTAGAAGCCTCCAAGGGCTGTTCAGAAGGTGCAAAATGCAACTTTACCCATTTAACCCTTTATTTAAGAACGAAAAGAGCTCCACTGCTGAGGAAAAGCAGGTCTTCCAGTGTTTGGTGTTACACCTGTATTCATTTTAGCTCTGCTCACCTGTGATTCTTATTGCAACATTACAGTTAGTATTTTAATCACAAAATTAAAGAATACTCTGCTGGGGCTTCTACAGCAACATGATAACTGTGCCATCACATGTGTTGTTGCACTTCTCTGTGGATATAAGCACACAGATTGGGTTTTTTCCTTCTGAGGTTTCTTCTGGGACTATGTATATGCATTAGTTTAGAAACGGTCAGGACTGGCAAGAGTTTAATTTGCTTTCAGAATTTTTGAATATATGCAAGATGTTAGCCTGAAAGCAGCTCATTATGGCCATTTTAAAACTGTCTGAGAATTTGTTGCTGTCATGACAAGTTGGTTGCTTTTATCCTTTGAAAGGACCGGTTAAAAGCATGTTCAGCCTAGCTGTTTAAGGCTTCCTTCATTGCCTAGTAAACACTTTTTGGCATCACAGTAACAGCAATATTTTATTTTCCCTGACCTAAGCTCTTTTTCCCCCCTCTAGCCTGGAAGAGGAAGGGCTCTGCTGATCAGCACAGGAGGAAGAGAACAGATGAGTATGATGAATCTTGCAAAACACTTCAGGCAAAGCTTTGAGCCTGGTACTTATTCATGTATTCTGATTACACTTGTCTCCCCTAGGTGTGTGGGCCAGCAGGAATCTTAGATGCAGTGAACTTTCTTTGCCTATGTAGGGTAGAGGTGTTTGTGCTTCAGGTTGCAAAATGTACCAAGCAGGAGGTGGGGGAAAGAGGGGGGTTACACGGGGAAAAAGGATTGGAAGTAACTACAATTATAAAAGAAGCATCCAGAAGAAAAAAGCAATTGTCATAATGATTCCCTCCCAAGACAGGGTTCAGGTTTAATTGAACGATCCACGCGTACAGATTCACTCTTAAACATTTTCATTTTTATCATGATTGTCATTTTTGATGTAACCATATAAGGAGAATGAGCCTTAATTGGTTTTAATAACTTTAAATTAGCTTTCGCTATGATGTGAAGTCTGTTAATGCTGCTGTTAGAATTTACAGATTAAGGACTTGGTCTGGCTTCAATTCAAGACATTGATAATAGTTTCACTGTAAGTAGGAGAGGCCCTGTTCTAAAAAATACTGGAACTGGGGAAATTTGCTTTTCCAGCTTTGCCCTTTGGTTGCAGCTTCTGTCTTGGTTAGAGCATTTACGAGTGTCTCCCCCATATGGTTTCTCTTGTGTTTGAACTGCATGAGCGCATGTTGCAGTTTTTCCTCTGGCTGTGGCACTTACAGGTGCCACGTATAAAAACACCCTCATCTGCTTGACTACTTTTGTTATGCTTGTAAGAAGCTCATTATTTATGTGATTTCTACCTCTGTCACATTTCTCACAATCGGTCAAAAGTTACTGGGAAGAGCAAAGACAAAGCAACGGTTACATGGACAGACAGTGCATTTTTGAGAACCCTGATTCTTTTGGACATCACACTTGAAATAACAGTAGGAGTTACAAGTGTGCCTAAAATGGAACTGCACTATGCCTTAAGGGTGGACTTTACCATCACACGTTTATAAACAAGAAACAAAGGCTTATTACTCTGATACAGCTGATAGAGCTTTAAAAAAGATGCCAAATATGAGATGTTCTTAGTGCATTTCGTTGCCTTAAAAAGTTTTGTCTCTGCTGTACAAAACTATTGAAAACTCATTCACAAATTGAATTAGAAATGAAAAGGAAAGAAAAAAACTGTGTTTGCTCAATTAGGAAAATAAGCAAGTAGATCTCTGGAAACCTCAGAAGGTGTCGGTGGATCTGGGCATTGCACACAACTTTGATTCTGAAATTACAGTATCCAACTTTTCAGAAAAAAAATCGTCACAAAATGTTGAGAAAATAATAAATCTTTGGAAACTGTGCTACTTAGATTCCCACAGCAGCACTGTGGGATTTAAAGTTAGTAATCTGTGTTTAACAAAGCCTGCATTTTTATATGAAAAGAAAGGCTTGTTTTGGTCTTTCTAGATTGGTAGAGAAAATAATCTGTTAAAATGACATTACAGTGGGTGAACTGGCTCCAGCAGAAGTACATAGCAATTCTTCCTTTTGCAAAACATTTTCGATAACTTATCTTAGAATTTAGTTCGTACCTCTTACACACAGAAGGAGTACCTATTGACAGTGGTCCCATGGAATTCCATGGAACGATGCTCATGGTCAAAGTTAGCAAATCTGTGCTGTGTATCTGAAAACTTCCATGAGAGCAGTTGTAGGAGATCATCTGCTAGAATAGGTCTTAATTTCTGTACAATTCCGCAGGGTTGGCTGCTTTTGTCTCTCCTGATATTTGACTGCCCCAATACCAAACTGTTGATAAAACAAATAATAATAAATAATTCATAGGTATGGACTGATCTGACCACTGCAAACCACCACACCTCTACACCCCCCACTGTGTTTTTGTGCACAGATTCCTCAGGTTACCCAAGAAATGGAAATATTAGTAATACTCAAATAATACAGCAGCAGCATGGGTTCTTCATATATGCAAGTCTTAAAAGCAAACTTACACAAGAGCTTCCTTTATCCTAATAGCTTTCTAAAAGGACTTGACAGTTGTTCCCTGTCGCTGGCTCTGCTTCTGCATGAACTATATGAGGGTGCATGTTATTAGAGGACTAATTTTCAATAAATGGTTCTTGTGAACAGGTGAAGGTATCTGATCTGTGGGTTATACATGCAAAAATAGTAGTCTTGCATTTCAGAAACATTTAATACCTAGCAATTAAAATTCAGCTTGAAAAAATCTGTCTTGATTCTGCTCCCCTTTAAATCAATAGCAAAATTCACTGATTAGCCTCTTCCTGTATTCAGTAAAGCTGCTACCTTTATTTTCGAGTAGCTCGTACAGTGTGCTCTCAGCACAGATTTTAGAGAAGCTGAGCACTTCCAGCTGTTGGTGGAATTCCGTTAAAATACCGTTGACAAGTGAAGGGCTGAGCCAGTCCCATCTTATTGCCACTGATAACCCTAAGCTAGGGTATTCTCTCCTGCATTCTCTTCTGACCAGGTTAGAGTCAAACAGCAATGTAGGTGTGACAGATCAGAGCACGGCTTGGCTTCAGGCAAGGCGATATATGAGAAATTCCCCCAGGAAATAAGTACAGGGCGGAGAGAATGTAGATAAACAGCCAGGCACAACACATTGTAATGAAACTATTTTCAAACTATCCAGATAATAATTTCTTACTATCATTTCTTCCCATAATCAAGTATGCTGGGGCCAATAAATTAACCTCTGCAATCAATGGAGAAACTTAGGCACATGGTCTAATGGGCACCAAGTGAGATCTAACAGCATCAGACAGGGGCTGAACCCAGGACTCGGAGGAGAGGCAGCAAGGCTTCACACAAAGGAGGTTTCCGTGTGCACAGTGGGCCGTAGAATGGGTGCCGTAATGAGTCAACATTTTTAGGTTATAAATCAGCGCTCTTATAAAATAATTTTATTCATTAATCTCATTCTTTTTAACAACCACGGGCAGCAGAAATTTGAAATCCTGCCAAGTCTGACTCAAAATTCATTTGAGTTTGTGCCTATATGGCAGAGAATAGGCCTTTTGTCTGTAATTATATATAAGCACCATAGGGTGACCCTGCATTACACAGGATGTAACTGAACAGCCTGTAATTGATGAGGTTTCCATTACCACATAACACAGTGCACACAGTAATGAGATCATAGGAAAACCTGTTTTAAAGTGTTAAGTACTTTCTTGTACAACAAGCTGAGTTCATATTATAAGGCAATAAGAAACCCGATTTCCTGGAACAAGGCAATAAGAAACTTGATTTCCTGGAACAATTCAATACATCGGTGCATATGTGCCTAACACAGGGTTATACGAACATGATGAAATAAATGCATTTAAAAAATGAAAGGTAAACTGAATCATACAAAACTGGTGGGCACTTTTTGTTTAATATAGTAAATGGAAGAAAACGCTGTTTCAACTGAGTTAGTTTTGACATATCCAACGGAACTATTCAGCACTTAAAAACTATCACAGTTTTGTACAGGAAAAAAAAAAAAAAAGGGATTTTTGAATAACAATGGAATGCGGAGATATTTGTTTGAAAAATATTTTTGTAAGAACAAAAAAAAAGCCCTGCATTCAGTAAAGGTTCTGATTCTGCAAGCATGTATACTCAGTATGTACACATCGGCATACTGTGATGTCTCCATGTGTAAAGTAGGTTACGTGAGTACTGCGTGTAGAACTCTGGAAGACTGGACACATGGTTTGCTCATGCTGTTGCTACTATTTCAGCAGCACCTGGGAGCATACAAGCACTACAACATACAGGCTTGTTCATGCAGTTGCAATGTGATGGTGTGTGAGGCTGCGCTGTGTATTGTTTCCATGAGCAACCTCCAAGCACTCCTTTATGTGCCTTCCCAGAAGGACCATTTAGCAGATCCCAGGCGTGCAATGCGATGTGGCTGAGTGTGAGAGTAGGAGTGCTCCAGCACGACTGTGTAAATACAGCAGCGGTGCTGCTTTATTTCCTGATGCTTAGAATAAGGAGTGAATGTGGCATCACGTATGTTGCAGTCTGTTAACTAGGTGAAAGGTGAGTTTGTGAAGCCGTTCTATAAATAAGCATATTTAAAGAAGCAAGAATATGCCAAAGAGGATATTTTGAGGAAATGGAATGGAAAATGGTATTTGTTAACAAACAATCTTAACAAAGTCTTGCTAGGAAATGGAACTTCAGTTCCGAACCTGACTACCTTGGATATATGTGGTTTTGGTACTTGATTCATTCAGTTCATCCTTTAAGGGAAGCTCTGTACAGGATTCATTGTGTTCATGATAGTGAAACAACCCACTCAAAAGAAAAAAAAAAACCAAACCCCAAACAAAAAAAAACAGTGGGCAGGCTACACCTTTGTAAAAATATTTAACATTTGTGGAAATGTTTAACATTTTGGTTTAGATCTAAGAGAGAAAAGGTGAAAACATTTTTTTAATATCTTCTTCATTATAAAACATACATTTTGGACTCTTTTTCATGTATAAAGTGGCCTTTACAAATCAGCCAACATTAAGTAAGCCTGTCACGGAGCAGGATGAAACCTTATTTATTCAAAACATCCACTGTCAGTGAGGACAACTGGTTCATAGAGCTGAGATATATGACCTTCTACAATTTCCTCTGACATTCATGGTGTAGAAGGTTCCCTGGGGTAAACAATGCTTTATAAATGCAGTTGTTTAAAGAAGTTCTTCTCTCACAAATTATCCAGGTAGTCCTCTTCCAGTTATTTATGTCTGTAATGGTAGCAGGTGTCTTTGTTCAGTTAATCTTCTGAAAACATTTCTTAATAGTATCTATTTCAGAATTTTGCATTTCATTGTTGTGAAGTGTAAGCACAATGAAAAATCACAAACCACAGAAAGATGAGTCAAGCAGGGCTGTGTTTTCATCTCCCATCTAACCCAAGTGTCACCTTATCATTAGCAGTGATGGAATGAGGCATTTCTATTTCCTCTGGGAATTTTTCAGTGTCTTGCACAAAATCCAATAGCAATGTACATACAATGTGTAAATAGGACTTTTT